AGGAGAGAGGTAAAAAATATATAAGAAAAGAGAAAGTAAAGGAGACATCTCAACATTAGGTTTGAATCGAGCACTCTTGAGGATCCACTTATGTATAACTAAGTAACTGTGAGCAATATGTACCCTGACCGGAAAAACATAGGGTAAATCGGGGGAAAGCCCTATAATAATGTGGTCATTATTAAACAGGAAAAGAATAAAGGAAAGAGTAGATAACATAGGTATTTATACAGCTTTCCTGGAAAGCTTCAGTTAACATTACCCAAGCCTATTCCCCTCAGATTGATGGGGGAAGGGACTGGACAAAGCAGGCATGTGCCCAGTAAGGTCTGGGTGACATGCTTATCTGTCAGTCACACCTGGGAACAGGTCAGTGGCCAGGACAAGACGTTTGGGGAAGATTTGATATTTAAGCTCCTGAACAAAGGAGTCCCTCTCCCCCTTTCTGCTTGCTGCTGATTCCTGTGTTAAGGGGCACACTCCCCTGCATTTGCCCATGTGACTCACAGCCATGTGGGGCCCACCCAATAGGTTGATGGGCTGATCTAGCTCAATGTTACATCAGAGTCCATTCCATCATGGAACAGACACTCTGGACACTGGCCCTAACTTGGGCTCTGCTGCACCCCGGCTGCATCTTTGCAGGATTGGGTTAAAGGCAATGCGACTTTGCAACACAAGAAATTTAATTCCACTCCAATGGAAACCATTCACTGCCCCATGCAAGTCTTAGAAAATTCATTTTCTCAAGATATCACAAGAGCCACTCCACTCCCACTGGTGTTAGGGAAATGAGACCCACTGATTTCTCTGGTAACAGCCTGACCATTACGAAAATTTTTAGTTTTAATCCTAATAATTACTGGACCATTTTGATAGCATTTATATTAACCTAATTGTTTAGTAAAGCTTCTAAGACTAATATATAGTGTGAAAGTATTTCTATATTCAAGATTTTTCTGACATTATTCTAGAAAGATATTCAGATCTGAATTGGAAAAAACTTGATTTGAGTGTGATTTGAGAAGAGAATTCATGAGGATAAATTTTTTTTTTAGTGATATTATCGGTATTTTCTCAATCACAATGTTTTTTCTCCCATCTCTATGCATATGCGATTTAATATAATACCTACTAAATACATGCCATTTAACACACAGGAACTCCACTTAGTGATTACTATCCTCAAATAGGACATAAAGGTCTGCGTTTCTAAACCACTGGCAATGGAACTGATTACCCTTAGAGGTTGTGAAATAAAGCACCTCAGTGTAAAAAGCAAAATGTTAGGTTTATTATGCCTCTGGTTTCAGATCATAGAAAGCTTTGGACGTGAGAATCACATATATCTGGGTTTAATGCTAATGTGAGGGCTAAGCCAATATTAATACCTTTCTTCCACCTTCCACTTCTGGCTAGGCTAACAAAGTAACAGAGACAGAATAATAGGAGAAAATAAAAGTTTTAACACACATGCATGGGAATTTGCATCATCATGACAATATTAAAGACAATAAGGCAACATTAGGTATCTGAGACATTTTGGACAAAGGAAAATGTGGGGAAGGGAATATTGTACTTCAGAAGTGAGAATGGGTGAGGAAGAGAGGAACATATAGGGCAGGCAAATTATTTTAGGCAGGCAACTCTGAAACAATGGCCACAGGTGGTATCTAGCTAACAGGCACCTGCCAGAAGCCTTCTTGTTTACCAAATTTAATTCAAATTAGGCTAAGGAGACATCCTAAGTCTCTCTTTCCTGAAGCAGGTTTCTCTGTCTTGGGCAGGAAAGGGGACAGGGTCAAAGGTTGTGAGTCTTGTTTCTTAATAAACAGCTTAAAGTCAACATCTCAAAAGGGCAGCTTCATGGCATGGAGTTTTGCTTCCCTTGCCTCGCTGGCTCTTTCCTGTTCACACACTCGCTGTGTACCCTTGGGCAAGTTGCCTAACTTCTCTCAGCCTTTGTTCCTCTATTTGCAAAATGGAGGTAAAGATAGGTAGCCACAATCACAATCAGGTGCTGCGTGCAGGGCCAGTGCAGCCCCTGACAAAGTGAGCCATCAGGACTTTCAGGACCCAGAGAGAATGACATCGCAATGGTGAGCCATAAGGTCAGTTGCTTGTCAGAAGTGAAGCATTTTCTATGTGACAAGGATGCTTCCTCAGAAAATAAGATGTTCTAATTAAACCTACTTCTCTTGTCTGTTTGGAAAGGTTAAACTTATAAAATATACCCAAATTTCTGATTTATTACAAGTCAGCTTATCACATGTCTGCAGGGACATTCTGATAGGAATTTAAACTAGAATTTCAGAGTTGAACGAAATTTCACATCTTGTTTGTTCCACTCCTCCAGATAGACTCAACCTAGACTTTGACATTACAGAAGAATTTTGAGTAAACCATTTTAAAGGTTTTCACCCGGATTTTTAACGTGACATTGATTGAACTTGAATAGCTACTGACCTTAGTTCACTTGATCTCCCGCTCTTCATGATCATCACATTAACTTTATCTATAAAAATAGAGTAGTATGTTATTATGATTTAAAATTTCTAGAAAATACTTGTTCTATTCCACAGCTAAAAAAAATAAAGGTTTTTTTTTAATTCAGCAAAAATATGTGCATTAAAAATGTCTGTTAAAGAAACTATTATTGAAATACAAGTTTTTATAACATTAGTATCATGCCTCCCTGTCATTTGTGCTCTACACAACTTTGGTAAATAAAAAATAAAAAAAAACAACCACCACAAACAAACAAAAAAACACCTGTTGTCCTACTTCTGACTCTATTCTAGCAATAAAAGAAAAAACATCCTCAAATCTGAATAAAGGTAGTTTGCAGACTGTGAAACATTGCTCAGTGGTCCCATTTTGTATACAGCTTTCTTCCCAATGTTTAACCTTATTTTCAAATGGAATTGTTTACATTAAAAATATATCATTTAAAGAAAGTGGGAAAACCACTAGGTTTTTTGTCTCCCAAATGCATTAAAAATGTCCTCTTGGTAAGGCACAATGAAGAAACATGTAACTTGCAAGATTGGTAAGAGCCACTATTGAAAAATACTGTGCCATATCTTCATGTGATGTTTAAGACAATTACTGGAGGTACCTACTACCCACATTTCTTTCAGAATCATTTCAGAGGATCAGCTAAAAATGCTGTTAACTCTAAGAGACTCAATCTGTCAAAATGTATTAAAGTGACATACCATTAATGCTAGTTCAACCTAAAAATTCATCCTGTAATGAAATGCTTTATATAAATTCAGGAAAGGTAGGAAATTCACAGTTCTCTTCTACATGAGCCAGTCTGTGAGAACCAAGATGGTGAGATACAGAAATGGTAATTTGACTCCCTGCAGTGACTTAGTAATGATCCCTTAATACTTATTCACAGATGTGCTTGCTTTTGTGAACATGTCTTAGAGACCTAGAAATGACATTTCTCTGAAATGGAGGAAGGATTTGGAAGAAGGGGTGAGTAAAGAGAAGGAAAATATCTTTTCCTTGCCATTCTTCCAACATTTCTCCTAGTACAGAAAAACAAAGACATCATCAAACACACACACACACACACACACACATTTAACTCAGGCAGGTCTATAAAGAGCATTTTTTTTATTGACTTCTATTTTCAAAATGGGAGCATCAGACACTGAACCCAGTTCTACTCTCCTCATACTCTGGAAAGTCATAATCTCCATTCATGGGCACCAAGCCTTTCATTCAGAGGAAAAGACTGGATGATATTGACATGACTACAAATGAGGGCCAAAATGAAATTGATGTCATCATTACCATTTAGACTTTCATAAAATTGTGTTCAATTATCCTTATTATCTGGCTCTAATTTATGACTCCAAACTATTATCCACTCTTCCTTTTCGTGCTTCTGACGCTTCCTTGTGTAAACCTGACACTCTTCCATACCTGTGACTTTGCTCATTCTCTTCCCGAGGCCCTCACAAATGTCACATACTTGACAACTTGTCCATTGGTAGATGAGATCGCTTGAGACAGTAATATACAGTAAAGATTTTTAGCTCCAACGAGCAGTTTTGAGCCACTGGGCAGGACTGAAGTTGTATTGTGCAATAAGAATCACCTTGCCAATATGGAGATTTTATGGACTCATCCCCAAAGGTTCTGATTTGGTAGTTCTATAACAACCCAGAATTGCAGTGCTAATAAGTTCACCAGGTGATTCTATCACCAGGTGACTCCAGGACCTCTTAGAGAAACACTGCTGCTCTCAGTACAACTTCCTTTGCTTTTTACATTTCTGGTAAGAGATATTCTAGAAAACATTTTCCAAAACAAAAATGCCATTAAAATTCTTGTTAAATCTCAGAAATCCCATTCCAGAAGTATTAGATTATAGACATGTTTATCCCCTATTCCCCTAGCTGGGTGGAAAGTATTTACATGGGAAAAAAGCTAAATATGGGTTAACGAAAGTGCTATTAATAATCGCTTTTTGAGAAAATGCAGGAATCCCAAGAACATGGTATAATTTGCATCACTTTTGTACTGCCTCTGCCAGCTCTATCGTTAAAGAGTAACAAAACAACCCCTTATGAAAAGAGCAGGTTTAAGATGGAAATAATTCTTTTTGCAAAACTCAGGAAACAGTACAAGAGCCTGTGAACTGCGCTCCCCCAACTGGAGAATCCCGTATTTGTAATAAATTCCTTTCGCTCTGGATGAGTTCTGCATTTTCAATGAGGTGAACTTGGCAACATTCTGGTTGATTTTAATAAAAATAGCTGCTTTGAGGACAGGGAGCTGAGGTTGCCAAATTTACAGCTGCCTTGCAAATTACTCTTACACCTCCTTCAGGGCTACTTAGAACCAGTAAGCAAATTAAGTGTATCGATTGCAATTTTGTTGGACTAACCCACCCCATCCCCCATCCCCCTTTTTTTTTCTTAGGGAATAAACTTGATTCCTTTCAGTATGTGTCTGTTCAGAGTGATCTCTTTTCCTTTCAGCCATAACACAAAGACAACATCATGGCTGGATCCACGACTTGCGAAAAAGGCTAAACCTCCAGAAGAGTGCAAAGAAAATGGTAGGTTATTAAGTTTTTATGACGTTTCCGCATTGCACGTCGAGAATGCTTGTGTTTCTTAAAAGAGGGTCTCGCCTAAAGAAGCAGTGAGCGAGTTGAAACAGTTTTAAAGATTTAACATTAAATGTTCAGGGTGGAGAGAGAAGGAAGTCGGCATTTCAGCATTGCCATGTGGTTTCCTTTTTCTCTCTGAGAGGCTGTGCTGGGTCTCACATCTCTGTCATGTCTGTGGGTTGTTTGACTCCTGGCCTGACTTTCCACCACCTACTAAGGACTTTTTATTTGCAATTTGTCTCTCTGAGGGCTCTGATCTTTTCACTGGAATGAGATAGGATATGTAGAGAAACAGGATTGTGAAACGATAAGTAATATCTGATGTTTATGTTTTGAGACATAGAGTTCTGCTAATATTTAAGGAATCGCTGATATAGAGATCTACACATATGGCCACTTTCCTTTAATCAGACATTGAAATAAAATCATTAATTTCATGTATGTGCTGGGCTGTCCTTAGTCTTTCCCAATTCCTATTAAGTTGCTTAAAAATGGACTATTTTCATGTATGTGAAGAATTTTTTTAAAGCAATTTTGAGTATTAGATGAATGTAAACCTTGTTCCCAAATTAGGAAATTACACAAATGAGATCTGTTGCTGAAAATACTAATAATTTTTAAAATATACAGTGTATGTTAAAAGAGTATTTATATCTTATCTAAAATGATAAATAGCATGCTCTCCTTATGATTTATTATTTGCCTTTATCTGGTCAAAGCATTAGAGCCTTATTCAGAGGCATTTATCAGTGATGAATTATTAAAAGTGATAAAAGTGTTGAGATATATTTAAACGTTTTAAAAAATCTTTCAAAAGTCAACTTTTAAAAAAATAGTCTTTAATTCCCCAAATACTTCTGCTTTAATAGCAATTCTAGCTTTCTCAAAGAGTACCTAGAAAATATTATTTATTCCTATATTATAAAGGAACTGTTCACAAGCTAGTTATATTGAGTTAAATTTTAAGAAATGGGAGTATACAATTTATGCATACATATTTGAATGCATAAGTATACAGTTTTTAAACACTATCTATGTATAATTGTGTGTGTGTAGCTATAGCTACTTGCCTTCTATATAATGGTACAACTGTATGTACTTAAATTCCATAAAGTTGTTATGTGGCCTGGACTTCTGAGCACAATTAAGTTACATCTAATTGACAATATAAAGACACGTGTTTCAAATTGTGATTGGTTATAAATGAAAATGACCTGATCTATTATATCTCTGAGTTGCAATTTACTTGTGCCGCAGATGTAAAACCTTAGTATATACTAATTAAAATAAATTTAATGATTTTACAGTTCGGTGACATATTGAACTTCTCAGCTGTCTTGTTCCTTTGAGTTGCTCTTTTCATTATAAAAGCCTATTAAAGTCAAATTTTAAAATCCTGGGAGAGATGTAGGCATAACATATTGCATAATTATAATATTTTAGTGTTATCAGTTTTTCACACATTTGCACTTGTCTGTCTTCACAGGATGGTAAATGCCTAAAATATGATGCCAGTGTCTGTGAATCACATGTCATTGAGAAACAAGTTTCAGAACACAGTCTTATAGCTCATAATGATATGTAACTGGCCAATTGCTATTTGTTTTCATTTTCTACAAAATAACGAATTCCTAGATTTCATTCCTTTTATTAATGGAATGTTTTACAATAGAAACTAACATCTAGTTCCTGACAATGCTATTGTTCCAAATATATATTTTAAATTTTCTTGCCAAGAGAATTACTTTTAGGTAATACTGTTACTTCTGTTTTATTTTTCTTTTCTTGAAATAACATAGATTTAAGCTGCTTGCTCAACATGTTGGATATTAATAGATTGATGTTGAGCCTGCTAGTTAAGACAGGATTCTTTAGCCCCAACCGGTTTGGCTCAGTGGATAGAGTGTTAGCCTGGGGACTGAAAGGTCCCAGGTTTGATTCCAGTCAAGGGTATGTACCTTGGTTGCAGGCGCATCCCCAGTGGGGGATGTGCAGGAGGCAGCTGATCAATATTTCTCTCTCATCAATGTTTCTATCTCTCTATCCCTCTTTCTTCCTCTCTGTAAGAAATCAATAAAATATATATATTTTTTAAATATACAGGCTTCTTTATAAGTATCACAGTTCAATTCAGATCAAGCAAATTAGTAGAATATTTTCCTGAACGCTGGAATCTGTGTAAAATGCATATTAAAATTTTATAGAGGCTCAAGGTAATAATATCTTTCTCCAGCAAAGATTTATCCATCCTGCTAAGGCAATGACGTGGAAGGCTAAGCATATCTCAATTCAATATGGAACTGAGCTGACATGAGATTGGGTTGAGTTCTGTTAAGACTCCATCTATCTCTGACTTTCCCCTGTTCTTGGGGTATTTGCCCACAGGGTTTAAGTAAAGGTCTGTTGCAGGTTGGCAGACATTTTTTGTAATGAGTCAGGTAGTAAATATATTAAGCTTACAGGTCATCCATTCTCTTTGCAACTATTCACTGTTGTGTGCAAAAGGGGCCAAAGTCAAAGTCAATTTATAAATAAAGGGCCTGGATGTATTCTGATAAACCTTTGTGTATGGACACAAAATTTTGAGTTTCATTTACTTTTACATCACAAACATTTTTTCCCAACCATTTAAAAACGTTAAAGTATTATTAGCTGGTGGATCACACAAAAAATAATGGCAGGCTGGATTTGGTCATGTTTCTACTTTCAATTTTTTTAAGATAATTTTTTCATTTACCTTTCGATTTCTTCTTTGATCCATTGGTTTTTCAGGATTGTGTTATTTTCCACATATTTGTGAATTTTCTAGTTATCCTCCTCTTATTGATTTCTAGTTTTATTCATTGTAGTCAGCAAAGATATGGGACATGATTTCAGTATTTCCACATTATCTAAGATATTTAAGACTTATCTTTGTGACTTAACCTATAATCTACTCAGGAGAATGGTCCATGTGCACTTGAGAAGAATGAGTATTCTGCTGTAAAGGACTGACTGTACTGTAGGTATCTAAGTTCATTTGTTCTAAACTTTAGAATACTTTTGAATCTAAAGTATAGTTCAAGTCCAATATTTTCTTATTGATATTCTGTCTGGGTGACCTATCTATTGTTGAAAGTAGGGTATTGAAATCCCCTATTATTATTGTATTATTGTCTTTTTTTTCCTTTATGTTTATGAGTATTTGCTTAATATATTTATGTTCTTTGATGTTGTGTGCATATATATTGCAATTGTCGCATTCTCTTCATTAATCTACCTTTGAGTTTATGTAACGACCTTCTTGTCACTTGTTAAAGTTTTTCAATTCAAGTCTAATTTGTCTAAATGTAACTACCTCTTCTTTTCTTTTGGACTTTTTGAAATGGATATTTAAAATAAAGTCTTTTCTTTTTGTGGGCAGTGTCCATGTTTAGGTTTGGGATGTAGATTCTGGCCTATTTTGTAGCTGTCTTTCCAAATGCAATGCAATTTTCAGACCCCTTCCAGTGCTGTTTTGGTCAGTTTATTTCTTCTTTCTTGGAAATTCCTGATAAATCTCTCCTGGTGCCACCTGCAAAGTGTGAAAAGTTCTTTTCTTGGTCTCACCACTAATAGGAATGTGAACCCTGGATTTATGGGCTAGAAAAAAATTTCCCTTGCCTATGTTCCTGCCCACCTGATGCTGACAGGTGTAGGGCAAGAGGAGATGGATCACCTGCTTAGGATCCATTGATGCCACCACTCCAGGTTTATTAGGCCATCACTCCTGATGGAAGAGTTGTTGATGTTTCTGGTTTCCACTAATGTCACCACTGTAGGTGAAAGGGCTAGGTATGGGGACAGTAGGGGAGGGGGGGCGGGATAAGGTTGCCCATGTCCTTGCTAGGCTTCTTTTGTTCTGGTCCTTTGGCCAGAAAGAGTAGGCTTTCTCATTTGTTTGCTTGCTTCTTTGTTTGTATATACCCTTTGGTATTCCAAGCAGAACACCTCCCTAGGACCCAGTCTGAGATATATAAGAGATAAAAAGAAAACTCTTAGAAGTCATTCTTTAAATCATAAGGTCTGTAGCCAATCTACTTCTTTCCATCTTTCCAGTCTTTTTGGTTATCTGTTGAATTATCTCCAGGGTATTTAAAGGAGAGAAACAGGGAAAAGTTTACACTATCTTTTCTAGGGCCACATGTCTAAATATGACTTCTGATACTAGATGATTATATTACTTTAAAGCTAAAGAGTATTTTCTCCTCCACTCTCTCTGTTAAATCTACCAACACTCTGTGAAGTATGTAGAAATTTTTCAGATAATGATGCTATAAGTCCAAAACTTTAAGGGCCTTGTTTAACAAGTATAAATACAAAACAAGGCTTGAATCCAGGCAAAATGGGTTTAAGATGGATCTCAATGTTATGGCATTGTGCAATCTGACAAGATGCTTTAGCTGGAGACATTAAGCCTTAAAATATGTTTTTAAAATGATGAAAAAATATTTTTATTTTAAAATTTTGTATTTAAAATAAAATGGAACTTTTAAAATATATTCTCAATATTTTCCCTAGGCCATCCTACCTGTAAATAGACCAATCAATATAATTTTATGGTCAAAACAATTTAAATGGCATATTATTTATGTTTTTAAATTAACAGAATGAATTTAGCTCTGAAAGATATTTTTTAAAATGTGTATTGATTTAAATTCTGTGTTCCTCACTTTTAAAAAAACGAACAAGCCTCTGTTCTTTTACATGCCTTCACAATTTCTAAAAGTGTTCACTACAGTTCACATAATGTTGGCACAATTTCCCTAAGAGCAAACTGTAGGTCTCTGTCAATCATACTGTGAGGCCCAGCATTATGTATCCCTCAGTGGTTAGACCTATTCACCAGTGCAGAAAGCAAAACAGTAAGGTGAGGCATTGCTCTAAATATTACAGACAAGTTCTTTAGAAGTGGTAAAAATATATCC